TGATGATGATGATGATGATGATGATGATGATGATGATGATGATGATGATGTTGATGATGATGATGATTATGATGATGGTGATGGTGATGGTGATGGTGATGGTGATGGTGATGGTGATGGTGATGGTGATGGTGCGGAGGATAATGATGATTATGATGATGATGATTATGATGATGATGCTGATGATGATGAGGAGGAGGATGACAATGATGATGATGGTGGCGATAACGGTGGTGGTGGTGGCGATGATGGTGATGATGACGATGATGACGATGATGACGACGACGGTGATGACGATGACGATGACGACGATGATGGTGATGATGATGACGATGATGATGATGACGGGAGGAGGGAGGAGGGGGGAGGAGGAGGAGATGAGAGGAGAGGAGGACGCGGGGCACCGTCTCTTCGAAACGAGGACCCAACACCACAGGATGGTTGGGGAAACAGAAACATAAGAGACAAATTCGCCTGACGAAAGACCCAACCATACGTAGTTGTGAACACCGCAATTGTGAATATATTCCTCGGTGGCGCTCCCTATGGGGCCACGAAACGAGTGAGGGTGTGCCGAAATGGGGGGGCGAAACCGCATGCGAGCGCAGCCACTGGGGCGTTCGGTGGAGCTCCCTATGGGGCCACGAAACGTGTGAGGGGTGTGCGAGAATGGGAGGTGGAATCGCATGCGAGCGCAGCCACTGGGGCGTTCGGTGGAGCTCTCTGTGGAGCCACGAAGCGTGTGAGGGGTGTGCCGAAATGGGGGGTGGAACCGCATGCGAGCGCAGCCACTGGGGCGTTCGGTCGAGCTCCCTGTGGGGCCACGAGGCGTGTGAGGGGTGTGCCAGACTTGGGGGTGGAACCGCATGCGAGCGCAGCCACTGGGGCGTTCGGTGGAGCTCCCTATGGAGCCACGAAACGTGTGAGGGGTGTGCCGAAATGGGGGGGTGAACCGCATGCGAGCGTAGCCACTGGGGCCTTCGGTGGAGCTCCTGTGGGGCCACGAAACGTGTGAGGGGTGTGCCAGAAATTGTGGAACCGCATGCGAGCGCAGCCACTGGGGCGTTCGGTGGAGCTCCCTGTGGGGCCACGAAACGTGTGCGGGATGTGCCGAAAAGGGGGGTGGAACCGCATGCGAGCGCAGCCACTGGGGCCTTCGGTGGAGCTCCCTATGGGGCCACGAAGTGTATGAGGGGTGTGCCGAAATGGGGGGTGGAACCGCATGCGAGCGCAGACGCTGGGGCCTTCGGTGGAGCTCTCTATGGGGCCACGAAGCGTGTGAGGGGTGTGCCGAAATGGGGGGGGGGGGGTGGAACCGCATGCGAGCGCAGCCACTGGGGCGTTCGGTGGAGCTCCCTATGGGGCCACGAAACGAATGAGGGGTGTGCGAGAATGGGTGGTGGAACCGCATGCGAGCGCAGCCACTGGGGCCTTCGGTGGGGCTCCCTATGGGGCCACGAATCGTGTGAGGGGTGTGCCGAAATGGGTGCAGGGGACGCATGCTGATGATGATGATGATGATGATGATGATGATGATGATGATGATGATGATGATGATGGTGATGGTGATGGTGATGGTGATGGTGATGGTGATGGGGATGGGGATGGGGATGGGGATGGTGATGGTGATGATGCGGAGGATGTTGATGATGATTATGATGATGATTATGATGATGCTGATGATGATGAGGAGGAGGAGGATGACAATGATGATGATGGTGGCGATAACGGCGATGATGATGGCGATGATGGTGGTGATGACGATGATGACGATGATGACGGCGACGATGATGACGATGACGATGACGACGACGATGATGGTGATGATGATGATGACGATGATGATGATGACGGGAGGAGGGAGGAGGGGGGAGGAGGAGGAGAGGAGAGGAGAGGAGGACGCGGGGCACCGTCTATTCGAAACGAGGACCCAACACCACAGGATGGTTGGGAAAAAGAGACCGAGTCGGGCCAGTCCTGAGCTATCGCCAAGCGTAAGCATACGTGAGTTGATCGTCACGTCACTCAGCGCCCATGCTGAGCCAAGTTGAAATAATTTCACCCGTTATGGGAATCCCAGCCATGTTGAAGGAAATGGTAGGGTGGTTGTCTGATTGTCACCTTTGCTGGGCTGTCAGCCCCCAGGCAGCCGCATGCCATGTTCCTGCCCTTCGTTCCTTGAGACGCGTCAGACGTACCAATTCTGGTCGTCGTGCTCGCAGAGCCCCACGCGAGGATAGGGTGAAAGCGATCGCAACAAGTGACGAACTGTTCATACTGGTACTTCCAATTCTCGGTCAACGGCTGCGGTAGAGAAAAGAGGGGGACAACTTATCCTGGCGAAGGACCCAACCAGATGCAGTTGCGAGTACCGCAATTGTGAGTATCTTCTTCGATGGCGCTCCCTATGGGGCCACGAGCCGTATGAGGGGTGTGCCGAAATCTGTGCGGTGGGCGCATGGGAGCGCAGCCACTAGCGCCTTCGCTGGAGCTCCCTATGGGGCCACGAAGCGTGTGAGGGGTGTGCCGAAATGGGTGCGGTGGGCGCATGGGAGCGCAGCCACTGGGGCCTTCGCTGGGGCTCTCTATGGGGCCACGAAGCGTGTGAAGGGTGTGCCGAAATGGGTGCGGTGGGCGCATGGGGGCGCAGCCACTGGGGCCTTCGCTGGAGCTCCCTATGGGGCCACGAAGCGTGTGAGGGGTGTGCAGAAATCTGCGCGGTGGGCGCATGGGAGCGCAGCCACTGGGGCCTTCGCTGGAGCTCCCTATGGGGCCACGAAACGTGTGAGGGGTGTGCCGAAATGGGTGCGGTGGGCGCATGGGAGCGCAGCCACTGGGGCCTTCGCTGGAGCTCCCTATGGGGCCACGAAGCGTGTGAGGGGTGTGCCGAAATGGGTGCGGTGGGCGCATGGGAGCGCAGCCACTGGGGCTTTCGGTGGATCTCCCTATGGGGCCACGAAACGTGTGAGGGGTGTGCCGAAATGGGTGCGGCGGGCGCATGGGAACGCAGCCGCTGGGGCCTTCGCTGGAGCTCCCTATGGGGCCACGAAGCGTGTGAGGGGTGTGCCGAAATGAGTGCGGTGGGCGCATGGGAGGGCAGCCACTGGGGCCTTCGCTGGAACTCCCCATGTGACCACGAAACGTGTGATGGGTGTGCCGAAATGTGTGCGGTGGGCGCATGGGAGCGCAGCCACTGGGGCCTTCGCTGGAGCTCCCTATGGGGCCACGGAACGTGTGCAGAAAATGGGTGCGGTGGGCCGAGCGCAGCCACTGGGGCTTCGCTGGAGCTCCCTATGCGGTGGGCGCATGCAGCTGGAGCTATGGGCCACGAAACGTGTGTGCCGAAATGGGTGCGTGGGCGCATGGAGCGCAGCCACTGGGGCCTTCGCTGGGCTCCCTATGGGCCACGAACGTGTGAGGGTGCCGAATGGGTGCGGTGGGCGCATGGGAGCGCAGCCACTGGGGCCTTCGGTGGAGCTCCCTATGGGGCCACGAAGCGTGTGATGGGTGTGCCGAAATGGGTGCGGTGGGCGCATGGGAGCGCAGCCACTGGGGCCTTCGCTGGAGCTCCCTATGGGGCCACGAAGCGTGTGAGGGGTGTGCCGAAATGGGTGCGGTGGGCGCATGGGAGCGCAGCTACTGGGGCCTTCCGTGGAGCTCCCTATGGGGCCACGAAACGTGTGAGGGGTGTGCCGAAATCTGTGCGGCGGGCGCTTGGGAGCGCAGCCGCTGGGGCCTTCGCTGGAGCTCCCTATGGGGCCACGAAGCGTGTGAGGTGTGTGCCGACATGGGTGCGGCGGGCGCATGGGAGCGCAGCCGCTGGGACCTTCGCTGGAGCTCCCTATGGGGCCACGAAACGTGTGAGGGGTGTGCCGAAATGGGTGCGGTGGGCGCATGGGAGCGCAGCCACTGGGGCCTTCGGTGGAGCTCCCTATGGGGCCACGAAGCGTGTGAGGGGTGTGCCGAAATCTGCGCGGTGGGCGCATGGGAGCGCAGCCACTGGGGCCTTCGCTGGAGCTCCCTATGATCGTCATGATGGTGATGATGATGATGATAATGATGATGATGATGATGATGATGATGATGATGATGATGATGGTGATGGTGATGGTGATGATGATGATGATGATGATGATGATGATGATGATGATGATGATGATGATGATGATGATGATGATGATGATGGCAGGAGGGAGGGGGCAGCGGGAGGAGTGAACGCGGGGCGCTGTCTCTTCAAAGCAAGAACCCAACACCACAGGATGGTTGGGAAAAAATCAGGCGCACAGAGGCCGAAAGGGGGAACAAAAACAAAAAAGTGCGAGCGGGCCAGCCGAGAGGGGGAACAAAGAATTGTAGGGGGGAAACCGCTCGAGACATTTTCGCAACTCGGGGGCCTTCGCTCGAGACATCCTCGCAACTCGGGGGCCTTCGCTCGAGACATCCTCAGAACTCGGGGGCCGTCGCTCGAGACATCCTCAACGCTCGGGGGCCACCGCTCGAGGCATCCTCGCAATTTGGTCGCACAGAGGCCGAGAGGGACCAAAAAACCGAGTGCGGGCCAGCCGAGAAGGAAAAAACAGAGAGTGAAGCTGGAACAACAAAAAGAGTGAAGAAACCGAGAGGGGAAAGAGAAAAATCGTAGAGGGGGTGAACACAAATAGGCCCCATCTTGGGCTGTTGCGGGGCATGCCCGAACCCATGCTTGGCCGACAGCCTTGGGAGCTTTGTGGGGCCAGGCCAAGACGTAGGAGAGCGAGCTTTAAATGATGGTTGCTGACAGGGAGGGTCGCCGGTGAAACATGACAGAAACTGCACCAGACAGCAAGCAGGCTTCACATCCTTGGGGCAATGCACAGGAGCTGCGCCAGACAGCCAACAGGCATTGCCACACCATCGAGTAGCCCGCCTCCCTCGCAAGCCGTTCCCCCGCAGCGCACCAAGGTCTTACCCCGTGGCCTGGTGTCTCCGCGCGATGCGGACGGTCCGTAACCAGAGGAGGCCTTCCTCCTCCTCCCTCCTCCCCCTCCTCCTCCTCTTCCTCCCTCCTCCCTCCTCCTCCTCCCTCCTCATCTCCTCAATCGGGAGGAGGGATCTCTGGCTCAGGCCTCCCTGCCTTGGCCCGAAGCCTGTAATTACGGGCGCGGGTGGAGGCAGCGGTCGGGGCCGCGACTAGCGATAGACGCCGGTCGTTGAAAGTATCCCAGATCCCAATCTACTTCGAGCGCCTTCCTACTTCAAGAATCGACACGCTTTTGCTGTGTTTTGTTATTCTCTGGGGGGGCCTGGACCCAATCAACTTAACCCGCCTTCTTCATGTTTTTACCTACTTCTTCCGACCGACGTGTAGATGTTCGTTCCGGGGACCTACCTGGGAGCCACTCGTTCCACTCCTGCGTCGATGCTGCGTCGAACGTCCGTGGATCTGAGCCGACCCTGAGTCAAGCTCGAGTCGAGCCACAGTCGAGCTGGAGGCGAGCCAGATTCGCAGCGGAGTCTCAAAGAGTTCCTGGTCCCCGAAGCGAGCGTCGAACGAGCGGGCGCCCACGCCTGGGCCCTCAGATGCGTTCGGTCTCCCTCTGGACGCTCGGCCTGGCACTGCTGTGTCCAGCGCCGGCCGAGGAGCCGCCTGCGCCCGAGGAGGCCGGCGGTGCTGCTGGCTCGCCGCGGCCGAGCTACTACCGGGTGAACAGCGACATAGAGACCATTTGGCAGCGGCCCGCGGCACCGGGTGGCGTCCGGGGCATCTTCTTCGTGGCGCACGGCTGCATGCACCAGGTCCGAGGCGGGGGTGTATTCCTAGCCGCCGCCTGTGGGATCGAGGGTAAGGGCCTCGGCCGGCTGTGGATACTGGCGTGCGCGGGCCATCGGGGGGGCAAGTGCATCCAGATCCCCACCGCCTGCCATTGTTTTCGAAACCCAAATCCCCCAGGCGGGTGGCTCTGGACGGATCCCCGCCTCGGGGCCAGGGCACCGACTTCTTTGGCGACCGGGAGCCCGACGGCTGGCTCTTCGAGGCCTGCGCCCGGTCCAACTACGGCTCCTGCCTCGGGCTGCCGGAGGAGGTCCGGCTGCGGGAGGCGGCGCTCCGGCGGGGGTACCTCGTGGTCGCCGTCTCGGGCGGCAGCGGTCGGCAGAGCTGCTGGCACCCGGGCGACGAGGTCCGCGTGGCCGCGGCCCTGAGGCACGTGCGGCAGGCCGAGGGGCTGCCGGCCGACGTGCCCGTGCTCGCCATGGGGGCCTCCTCTGGCGGGGCCTTCCTGGGCTCGCTGGCCTCGCTCGCCCCCGAGGACGGGGGCGTGCAGAACCTGCGCTGCCTCGTGCCGCAGATCATGGCGCTGCAGGAGCTCCCCGCCCGCAGGGTGCCGACGCTCTTCGTGCACATGCCCCGGGACGGCAGGACCGCCGAGGCGGTGGAGGCCGAGCTCGCGGAGCTGAGGGCCGCGGGCGTGCGGGCCGCGGAGATCCGCGTGGAGCCGCGGCCGGTGACCGTGCAGCTTCTGAGGCGGTGCTATGCCGCCGAGGGCGCCCTGGAGGTGTTGCAGGCCTTGAGCGAGCAGGGCCTCCTCGACTCGAGAGGGTTCCTCTGCGAGGGAAATCCTGGAGGCCTCGCGCGGCGCGCAACAGTGGCAGCATCTGGCCCACACGTCCGCCCCGTCGGAGCGGCAACGCTCCGACACAAGTCTGACGTCGTCCCGAGGCAAGTCCGACGTAAACCGTACGCGACTCCGACCTGAGTCCGACGTAGCTCCGACGTGGGTCTGACGGTACATTGCGTTCCGAGTTGCCGCGCGAGGCTTCCAGGATGTTCCTCATAAGGTTCCTCGTCGCCGACCCAAGGGAGCGCAGTTGGGCCCACGCAGTGGAGGCCGCCCTGGGGGTGGACCCGGCCAGCCTGGAGGCAGACGAGAGTTGCCTGGCAGAGGAATTCAACATCGCTTGGGCGGTGCACGAGATCACCTCCCAATACGCAGAGGAGCAGCTGGATTTCTGCGAGGGCTTGGCTGTGGGGTCGGGAGGAGTGTCGGAGCCAGTGGAGGCCACCGAGGCGCGCGGGAAGAATCTGCACCGAGATGCCGAGCCCTCGCGATCCGGATTTCTGGCCCCCGCAGCCACTGGAGCCCTGGGGCCAGAGTGGACCCGCGACTCCTCCAAGGAGCGGCCGGCCGGGACGGAGGGCGCGGGCAGCTACAACGTGTCCGTGTACACTCCGGAGCAGCAGGCGCGCCTGGGCGTGGACAAGTGGGGCAAGCCGGCGGCGCCGTTGCACGCCGTGCCCGCCGACCAGGCGCCAGCGGGGCCAGCGCCGGCCGCGCCCGCGGCGCCCAAGGGCACGAAGGGGGCACCCGAAGGGTCGCCGCCTGCAGCTGGCCTCCCGGACGCGCAGGTCCTCGTCTTCTCGGGCTGGACGAAAGGGGGGGATTGGGAAAGGAGGGGGTACGAAATCTGCTGCATGCAGCTGGTTTCGGCCCCACCGAGGGGCTCATTCCTCGATACATAGACGCCTCTGGCGCCGGGAGGCGCCAGGAAAATCAGCTACGTGGGCTGATTCTCATAGCCCCCTTTGCTATCCCCCCCTTTCGCCCGACCCGATCTTCGACGCCGGCAGCAGCGGCACCAGGGTCCACGTCTACAACGTGTACAACGGCGAGCACGTGCCTGCCGTGGACCTCTCCGTCGCCGAGGCCCAGACCAAGAAGGTGAGGCCAGGCCTGTCCTCCTTCGCGGAACGGGGCGACCTGGACGGAGCGCAGCAGAGCCTGGAGCAGCTCCTGGCCTTCGCAGACCAGCTCGTGGCCCCGCACCGCCGGCCCGCGGCGCCCGCGGTGCTGAAGGCGACCGCGGGCCTGCGCAGCCTGCCCAGGGCGCAGGCGGAGGCGGTGCTGCAGCGGATCCGAGAGGTGCTCGGGAAGACTCGGGCCGGACGACAGGGGGGGGGATTGGGAAAGGGTCCGAGGCGGGAGTTTATCCATATCCACCGCCTGGAGGGTTAGTTTTCGGAGCCTCGGCAGGTGGTGGATATGGACTTACTCGGGCCCCCGGGAGCCGAAATATATCCATATCCACCGCCCGCTGGGGCACCAGGACGTCGGTTCCCAGGCGGTGGATATGAATAAATCCCCGCCTCGCAATGGGGGGGGGCTACGAAATCTGCTGCATGCAGCTGGTTTCGGCCCCACCGAGGGGTCCATTCCTTGATACGTAGCCGCCTCCGGCGCCGGGAGGCGCCAGGAAAATTAGCTAGTGCTTGTTTTTTTTGGATTCAGACAAGTTTACTTGCATGGCGTTCGCCCCCCCCCCCCCCCCCCTCGCCCCTCTTCAAGCGAGTACTAGCGTGCAAATGCCTTTCGACTTGCGTGATTTCCGCCCCCCCCCCCCCCCCCGGGCTTGCTTCAGGCTCAGCCCCCCCCCCCGTCCATGCAAGTAAAGTTGCCAGAGTCTAAAAAAACAGGCTCCTATACGCGAGCGGATTCTCACCTCCCCCCCTTTGCCACCCCCCCCTTTCGCCCGGCCCGAAAGACGGACTACCTGTTCCAGGACAGCTGGGCAGAGATCAGCTCCGAGGGGTGTCGGTCGAGTCGACGGCAGCCCTTACTGACGTCTTTCAGGAGGGGAAAAAACACACAGACACAATTAATCCTCGATCCCCCAGAAAATATAAGAAAATATGGGAAGTGTGGGGGGGGGAAGACAGAAACCCAGAAAATATTGGAAAATATGGGGAATCTGTTTATTCGTGTGTATTTATTTGCGTGTCCTGGGGCCCCTTCAGTCTTCCGTACTCTTCGGGGGTCCCTGAGGCTTCTCGTCGCCACGGCCGGGTCCGCGTGGGGGCAATCAAGCAGCGGCGAAGCGTCTTGGCGTGCTTGTGGTCCGACCAAACAGTGTTCTAAGAACCTTCTGTGGTTCCCACGAAATGTTCTTAGAACATTTCTGGTTGGGACTGCCTTGTTTTATCACATCAGGCTTATGTTCTAAGAGCATTGTTTTGGTTATTGGAACATTCTTCGGTTCTACGAATATTTCGTGGTAGGACTGTAGAAATGCCGGGACGGTCGGTCCCTGCTCAAGACGAAAGAGCCCAGGAGGGCTCCTGGCATTGGCAATGGAATATTCAAGTATAGTCCAAAAATAGTCTGTTTTTTTTTGTTTTTTTATTTAAAAAACTATGTTTGAGCATTTGGGGGTTGTTTTCTGGGTGTTTTTTTTTCGGGCCGAGCGAAAGGGGGGGATAGGGAAAGGGGGGGGTACGAAATCTGCTGCAAGCAGCTGGTTTCGGCCCCACCGAGGGGCCCATTCCTTGGTACATGGGCTCCGACGCCAGGGGGCGCCAGGAAAATCAGCTGTACGCGAGCTGATTCTCAACTCCCCCCCTTTGCCATCCCCTCCTTTTCGCCCGGCCGATTTTATTTTTCGTCGGAAATCCCCTTGTGGGGGGACACGCCCGACTTAAGGCTGGCCCTCCTCCGACCATCCAGGGCAAGGAGGAAGCTGGGCTGGCATGGGTGGCGGCCAACTACCTCCAGGGCACCTTTACGAACGTCGCCCGGGGCGCGCACTCCGTCGGCGTGGTGGAGCTCGGGGGCGCTTCGGCGCAGGTGAGCTTCGAGATTGGCGACGTCGACGCGTCGGTTGCCGAGGAGGATCTCTTCACGTTCAAGCTATCCTCGGGCCTGGAGTACCGCGTCTATGCTCACAGCTACCTCGGCTTCGGCCAGGACGCGGCGCAGCGGCAGGCTCAGGAGTTCGTGGATAAGGAGGGGTCGCAAGAAGACCCGTGCTACCCCGTGAGCTACAGGCGAGCGGCCAGCGCGAGGACGGTGTCTGGGCGGGGCGATGCGCAGCGCTGCCGGTCGCTCCTGCGACGTGCGCTACTGTCAGCCGAAGCTGCGCCCGGCCGGTATCCCGGCGAGTTGGGCCTGCGCGGAGGATTCGTTGCGATTGAGAATTTCTTCAACGTTCCCGACGAGCAGAAGATTCCAGCAGCCTCGAGCGTGCTGCAGCTCGAGCAGGAAGCTGGCGAGGTCTGCGGGGCCAGCGCCGCGCCCGACTCGGAGACAGCCGCCGCCCGCGTGGCTGGTCACTGGCCAGAGGTTGTCTAGGCCTCCCAGATGGGGTCCGAGCAGATGGGGTCGGAGGTTCGTGCCGCATCGCCGACGCATCGGCGATGCGGATCGATGTTGAGCCCGAAATTCTCCTCGCCGACTTCGCCGATACACCGCCGACGTCGCCGATGCATCGCCGATGCATCGCCGATGCATCGTCGATACATCGGCGATGGATCGGCGATGCGGCGCGATCCTCCGACGCCATCTACTCTGGCCCCATTCAGGCGGCCTCTAGGTTGGCAAGCCCAATGCGTGCTTTGCGCTCTCCTACCAGGTCGAGCTCTTGCGCTCCCTGGGAGTGCTGCCTCCTGGCGTCTGGTTCCAGGTGGCCAGGAATATTGGAGGCAGCAGAGTTGAGTGGGCTCTCGGAGCAGCGCTGATCCAAACCATGCAGCGCACCGCACTGGTCCACAGCGAGCGCAAGCCCTTCCCGTGGCCAGCGGCGCTGGTGGCCGTTCTTGTGCTCGGCACCGTGACGCTGTTGCTGAGACCGCTGATCTTCGGCAAGATGGGTCCCATGCAGATGCAGGTAGTCACATCGAATGGCCCCGGCAAGCACGTCAGGCCCAGTAAGCTCGGGAGAGTTGGCGTCTCGCGCTACAGCGGCTATGACAAGGCGGCGCCAGCCGAGTGAGGTCTCCCCGCGGGCCTTCCCAGTGATCTTCGGGTCGGACGGAAGCAAGGGGTACAGACGGGGCGCTGAAGAAGGAACCCTTTGCATTGGGGAGGGGCTCCGTGTTCCTTAATTCTTTCACAGTTTGCCTTCTGTTTTCCGTAGGTTTTCGATGGGTAATCGAAGTTTAACTCATGGAAAAAAGCGGCCTCGTTCCTGATCTAGGGCTCCTCAGGTCAACGCCCCGACTGGACGACAGCTGCTGCTCGGAGCTCTGGTCTCGACCCTGCCTCTGGCCGCCTGCCCTGGATGCCACGTGGCACCCCTGGCGCGGCGGGAGGCGCCGAGGCAAAAGCGGTCGTGCGGGCCAGAGCGCGGGCCTCAGAGGCGACGAGCGGGGCGAACAGCCCAGGGGAGAGCAATACATAATCCGCTGGGGGGGCGCCATGGCGCGGCGTGCGCGGGGGCGCCATGAAGGCGCTCACCGGCTCGGTGGCGGCCCTCGGCAGACGGAGGCCCCCTTCGGCCTGCCCCGACTCTGCTCACGCGGTGTGTGTGTGCGCGGCGGCCCCCTCCCCATGGGGCGACGCGCGCACTCGGGAGTTCGACTACAGCCAAGACGCTGAAAAAGGAACAGCTTGGATTCGGGAGGGGCTCGATGCTCCTTGCGTCCGTCCTTCCGCGGCTGTTCCTCTAGCCCTTCTCTTGCCACCCAGGCTCGTTTGAAGCCGCAGAGGGCTTCGTTCCCTATTTCGCGTTCCTGATTTCAGCAGCCCGACTGTATTCAGGTCGGTGCGCCGCTGATCTATGTCTTCGAAAAGGCTCCCGGGCGAACACGTGTAATGCCCGCCCCTGAGCTATTCGCCCCTATCGTTGCCGCCGAGAGCCTGCCCTCTGCGAGCCTCCCCGTGCGATCCGGCCCGAGAGCGGCAGCGGGCGCGCGGGGGAGCGGCGTCGTCAGGCGACCTGGGGGAGAGCGCGGACACACGAGCAGCACAGGTGCGGCACGGACAGCCGAGGGGGGGGACGCCGCGCGAGGGCGATGGTGATCCCTCGCCCTGGTTCGCTCCTGCCCTGCAGGGAGCGCGAAGCTGAACGGCCCAGAGGGTGGGGATTTGGGGTCAGGGGCATCTTCGGGGAGGGACAGATGTAGTTATGAGGCATTCAGGAAGTGGCCTTGCCTTCGAGGGTCGAGGGATTGGCATCTCTTCTTCGGCGGAAGGCGGCGGAAGGACGGCGGAAGTTAAAGGAGGACGCCTCCGCGGGCGGAAGCCAGCGGAAGGCCAGCCGAAGCCGGCGAGAGTAACAAATGCGCCTCAAGAGATGGCAATCTGTTTTGATTCAGGCTCTGCGGAACCCGCCACATAGGCTCAGGGGGGGACGCATCGACCCCCAAGTCGCCCATTCATCGCCGACATGGGGTTTGATAGACACACCCGCCCAGGAACGTGCGGTTTCGCAGCTGCGGGCCTATCGCCGATCTGTCGGCGATGCATCGCCGATTCTGGCGCTTGGAGGGCCCTGGAGTCCAGGATTCTTTTCCCTCTAGACCCTTCTCCTTCATGCCGAATGGAGGCCTGGGGCTGCGAAGTCTTCCCGACAGCTCCCAGGCAGGTACCCGCTGCTGACCCTTCCGTTCGTCCGCCCTCCTCCCCGAGACCTAGGCTGCGGCCGACGTCGTGGTTCTCGAGTCCGCGTTTGTGCAATGGCGTTTGATTAAATAATAGGTGGACTACCGGATTGGAATCGAGTGGGCGACGATGTGTCTCGTTGTCTCCCATTGTCTCTCGTTGGCCTTCATTGTCCCCCATTGTCTCTCATTGCCTCCCGTTTGTCCCCTTTGTCTCCCCGACATTGCCTATCTGCATCCCTATCCCTATCCCCATTGTCTCCCGTTGTCTCCCATTGTTTCCCGTTGTCTCCAAGTAGGTATCCTTCTGCCTCTGTCTCCACCTTGGAAAGAGTGTGTTCTACCGCTGCTGGCGGAGAACCGGGGGGGGGGTCACTACTGGTTCGAACCCCTCCCCCCGCTCCGGAAAACCGGGGGGGGTCAGTACCGGTTCGAACCCCTCCCCCCCCCCTGCCCCCAGTTCATCATGAAAAGGGGGGGGGTCACTACCGGTTCGAACCCCCCCCCCTCCCCTCGAAAACCGGGGGTGTCGTTACCGGTTCGAACCCCCCCCCCATCGAAAACCGAGGGGGGGGTGCGGACAGTGGTGGGGACGGTGGTGATGGGGACAGTGGTGAGGGGACAGCGGGACAGTGGTGGGGACAGTGGGACAGTGGTGGGGACGGTAGTGGTGGGGACAGTGGTGAGGACAATGGTGGGAACAGTGGGGACAGCGGACAGTGGTAGGGACGGTGGTGGTGGGGACAGTGGTGTGGGGACAGTGGGAATGAGGTGGAAACAGTGGGACAGTGGAGGGTACAGTGGTGGGGACAGTGGTGAAGGCGGTGGCGAGGACGGCGGTGGGACAATGGGACAGAGGTACAGCGGGGACAGTGGTGCGGACAGTGGGGACAGCGGTGGGAGCAGTGGGACAGCTCAGTGGGACAGCGGTAGAGTCAGTGGGACAGTGGGGACAGTGGGGATAGTCGGGCAGTGGTTGGGGCCGTGGAGTGGGGAAGCGCGCGGCCCCTTCAGGGCTGACCCCTGCCCCGCTCTGCGCCTCCTGCTTTGGAGGTGAATCGGTTCACCTGCAAAGTGCCTGTCGGCTACAGAACGGTCAGCTTGTATGTATGTGCACACGGAGTTTGCGCATTTATATATACCAGGAAACCATTGCATTTGTCATGTATGTGTTTCATGAATTTTGTATATATAATTCAAAACATGTAGCAACACATGTACGTTGATTCATTGATTTCACACATATATATATTATATATATATATATATATATATATATATATATATCAGCCGCCATATCCATGTGACGTGCTCGGTGGATGTGTTTTCACTATATATATAAAACCCGCAAATGAATATCATGTATAATGACGTGGTGTGCGTGACATTGTGGTGCCCTGTCTCTCTCCAGTGCTGCTTTATGTTATGTTTTGCAGTTTCGGACATGTCGTCCAAGCAGCTGGCCTGCTCACTTTGGATTCGCCAGGTTGAGGAACGGATCCGCCCTCGAGCTTCTGTAATTTGCTCGGCCTTGCCGTCCGCCAACGTCGTTGTCCGTCGTAACCGTCGCCGTCTTCGTCGTTATCGCCGTCCACGTTGTATTGCCGTCCGTCGTCGGCGTCAATCAGCGTTGGATGTCTTTGTCGCCGCTTATCGGTATCATCGACGTCGTTCGTCATCAATCGTAGTCGTCCTCAGCATGGGGCGTTTGCGCCTTGTCTGTAGGAGCGATGTTTGACCTCTCTGCGTTCGTCGTTTTCAACTCGGGGCTCTCCTTGTGAAGGCGTCCCGTACGGTGGATTAGCCATTTTGGCTGTCCAGGTTGATTGCACGTTCAGAGCTCTTTCGTATGTTAGCTTTGGTGTGTGCACATGTCTTTTCTGGCGCGGCGTCTTTACCTCATGGCCCGGGTGTGCGGCGTCAGGAACTTGAACGGCGAATTGGTTTTCGCACAGGACGGTATGTGTCGGTTGTTGAACCAGTTGGTGACAGAGGAGCTGGCCGGCCGTGCCACGTCCTGGAACCCTTCCAGGAGGGGCAGGGCGGGGGTTGCATAGTCACGGGGGTGGTGGTCACAATTCACATTGCATCGCGTTGTATGCTCATGATGTTTCTATGTGTTGCGTTGACATAGACGCGTGCGGCCTCTAACGATTGGCGACGGGGAGGGGCGTGATGCCTTCGCCGCCATCGTCGTCGTTGTCGGAATCACCCTTCTCGTCTCCTGCATATATTATTCATCATCTGCTCCCCTCCTCTTCTCGTCCTCCCGCTCTCCCTCTTCCTCCTCCCCCTCCTCTCTTTCTCCTCCTCGTGCCCCCCCTCGTCTGGTTTTGCCCTTGTCTCCGAGCGCCCCTTTTTCCTCTCCCCCCTTCCCTTCCCGTTGGGGCGGCGGGAGGCTGCATCGCGTTCACGGATGGGCCGAGCGCCAGCCGGGGGTGTACTCCGTCGAGGTCGTGGCGGCCTCGCTGGCGCAGGGGCGGAACGCGTTGGCGATTGCAGCTTTCGCCGAGGCGCCATCGTGTTGCCTTCCTCCTTCTCTCTCTCTCTTTCTCTCTCTCTCTCTCT